GTTTGTGCTGAACCAGGCCAGTTCTATCTTCTCAAATACATCTCTATTCTTTCCCTCATGCAAGATAGAGCATCCGGAACGTTCAATAACATTAAACAAAGGGAGCTGAAAAGAATACACTACTGGAGATAAGACTGATTCATTAGGAACTGAATTCTTTTCAACTATATGAACAACTGTAATAATTAAGATTATAAATCCTTAAAAATTCTTCCCTGAAGAAGAAAAAAATGCCATACTATCATCCTATTCTGAAAAGCATAGAAAATAAACACAATTCATATCATTTCACATGGACCAAACATATTTTTAATAAAAAAAATGTGATGTATTATTAATGCTTGGATAACAACTTAGCAATTATGGTCGAGTGATGTTACAATGTTCAAAATGTGATGTTTATCTTCCAATAAAATCCATCTGAATACAAATCCAACCAAAGAATTCTAAAAAATATAGGACATTCAGTGACTATAAGATTGGCTTCTGAAGCTCTCACCATTTTCACAGAATCATATGTGGGTCACTAACCACACAGAGCTCCTGAAGAGAAACACAGGGAACAATGAGCCTTTGAAAAGAAAAAGGGAAGTGTCTTTCAATGCAGCCCTCACAATTGGTCCGTCCACTGTGAAGAGCTAAAACTTCAGCAATAATAAACCTGATAGCGATCCTTTAATAATAAAATCCCCTGGTTTCATGAAAACCTGCTCTATGTACCTTTCCCACAACAGAGAAGAGTCAATAGTGATTGGGCACTCGGCAGGCCCAGGTGAACAGGCAGAGCAGTGGGATGTAAATACCCAGCTGTTTGTCTGCCACCTGAAACAAAGTCAGTGCTTCCAAAAGCATTTCCCTGCCAGTGTGTTTATCAGGATCTCATTTCGTTGAGGAACTGGCTGCTGGTTGAAATAGGTTGTCAATTGGACAGAAGGTAATGTCTTTAGAACACACACCCCTCCCAAAGCCTGGCAGATGACAAGCAGAGAAATGGAGCATCTTCTTACAACCTCCTTTTATCCTCTACAACCCTATAAAATTAAGAAGTGTTCATATATGCCCTCTAATGAAGGCAATTGGAGAAGGATCTGGGACCTGGTAAAAATGTACTTATTAGAAAGCAATGATGTAAATTGAGTGTTTCTAGATGAGGTACAATGGTAATAATGAAAGCTAGATATTACAGAACTATTCTAGAACAGCTACTATGAAAACTGCCTTTAGCACGATTTCTCAGCCTCTACAAGAGCCTCAGTGGGGACATCATTATCCTGGTTTCATAGGTGATTACACTGACACACACATGAAGTAAGCAACCAGTCCAAGGCCACGCAGTGAGAAAACACCGGAATGGAAGTTTATTGCAGGACCAAACACAAAGCAGGAGCTCTTGGCCACTATGCACGTGTCCTCGGAGACCTACATTCTAGACAGAATAAGCAAAAGATAAATCTCACCTGCAACACTGCCCATCGGTTTTTTACTCATCTCTCCTGACACAAAAGGAAGAGCATATTCAAAGAAGCACATAGTAACTGGGATGTGGTTTTCTGGCCTGACGTTCCTTCCTCTCTTCCAACTCATCACCCAAGTAAACATTCATTTAATTAATCTAATTCTGAATCTGCCCCATATAAGAAGCCAGTCTGTAACAGAAAAAAAAAAAAAAAACAGAAGCATTAGAGCATAAAGCATTAGGAATTATTAAGGACAGAATGCCAGGTATAATTACAAGCACCTGTAAGTCTAGCACTTGGGGAGCAGAGGCTGAAGACCTTAGCTATATATTGAGTTGGAAAAAGTCACCATGAATAACAACATGAGGTCCCAAAGAAAGCAAGACGAGAAAGACTATGGCTACTTAGAAGGATGGAACGACTCATGTAATAAACACTGCTGTGGTGAATCTTGCTCCTCTGTATCTGTTTAGGTGCCTTAAACAGGGAGTTACAAGAATAGACATAAAATTTCCAGGGATCCAGTACAGAAACTGTCAAATCAGTTGATGGTAAACAGATAGATTGCTCTGGGTGGGGCCATAACATGATTTTTTATAGAGGAATCAACTATTGAAAAAATAAATTGGATTTAAAGGAAGCAGTATGTAGAGAAACTCCAAAAAGAAAAACATCACTGATGAAGCTAAGCTTGCCTATCTAATGAAAAACTGTTTATTGTGATATCAAGCATAAACTCTCTCTCTATGCTTCCTGACTAATGCAGAGGCTACCTAGGGGTTTCTGGTTGACTGTCCACTAAAAACAGGACTGGGGGCAGAAGGTAGCACACAGAATGCATAGAAACCTGGGTGATGGTTTGGTAAGTTTTTGTTTTTAGAGTCAGAATGAGCAACTCATCAGAAACACAGTAGGTGAGATCTTAAGGCTAATGATGACAAAAGTCACAATGAATATTCCAGCTGATCATTGCTCTTTTATCAGCAAAGAATAGACAAGAAAATCTTAGCAGTCCCAGTACTGTGCTCAATCACCAGGGCATGTAAATACCTCAATACTAGTGGGTGGTTCTCTGAGTGCATTCCTACTCCTCATTCCTTGCTATTTCCATGGGCTACGATTTTTAGAAGCTCGAAGGTGTCTACTACAGAGTCCATATGGAAACTTGATTCAGTGACACCCTATATTAAGGAGAAAACCGCTATCTTTTCCATATTAAAATCAAATCATAGCCTCCACAGAATGAAATTCCAATGTATGGTACTACAACAGTGAACTGTGAAACCATGCTAAGTAAAATAAGACAAATACTATGTCATTCTACTTGGCAAGAAACACAGTACCTACCAGAAGCCAACTCATGGGCACAAAAAGTAGAGTCAAGGTTGAAGAGAAGGGAGAATGGAAGTTATTATTTAACTGCTTGGAATTGTGGGAAATTTTGGGAGAGAGTAGGGGTAATTAATATAAAACATGGAATAGACTTAATAATGTCATTGTATTATAAATCTAAAAATGGTGAATTGGCAAGTTCTGTGTAATGTGCATTTTAAATATCAAAGCACACAGTATCTCTTTCACAATTAAAAAGTGAAAAACCAAAAATTTCCCACAGAATTTCTCTTAAAAATGATTTTCAGAACAAGATTCCAAGTTCTATGAGGACAGGAACCAGATCAACCTGTTCCATTTACACCTTAACAGAGTAGATTTTTGCACAAATGTTTTGCAAGTGAATGCCTGCAAGAAAGAGGTTCTCCTCAGCAGTCACTATACTGCTTGCAACGTTCAAAGTTACTTTCTGATAGAGAACATAAAGGTGCAGACTGCATGGGGAAATGGTAACATTACTACAACTGAAGCTCCCTCCACCTCCTCTCCACTTTCTGCAAGCCTGTATCCTATTGTCCTATACACAGTATATAAGTAATATGTAGAGAGAGCATATAGGTAGTATATAGATAATAAATGTTTGCATTATGAAGACAGGAGTGGGATATTATAAAATAAAGTTAAATTATTGCTCTACCAGTCCCCTTTTTAAAATTACTTTTTGCAGATGTAACATTTCTTCTGTCACAGAATGAAAAAATAAACCTCACAGCTTACACAAAGTGGAGATAAAAATATAAATAGCTAGAACATATCGTTCTCAGAAAAAAACACAGCAAACAGTATATCATCTCAAAAGAATTAGATTTAAAAAAAATAACAGCTCCTGTTTGCATTTACTTTGGGGGAAATAATAAGTGTTTAATACACAAGAAAATTCCAACTCTCCTTTGAACAAAATCCAAATATTCATTCCTAGAAATCAAAGTCCAGTTTTGCACTTAAATTTTAGTAAGTACAGAGATTCCTCCTCCAGTAAATCACTTATTGTTTTTCTTAGCTGATAAAGTATTCTTTCTTAGACATGTGTACCATAAAATTATATAAAACGTCTCTGGCCAAGAAACAAGCTACTGATCAACAGACATTTACCAACAACAAGGTCCACATTTCAAGTAAACTATGTTCAAGCATACAAAGTAAAATATTCTAAAGCAAAATATTAAATACTGATATCCTTAATAATCAACACCTACAAAAATGTAGACCCAGATAAATTTACATGATCATTTAATGGTATTAGTCTCAATGTAAACAATATGAAAATATATCCTTCAACTTCAAACCCTCACTACTTAATACTCTGTTCCAAATAATGAAACAAATAGGAATTCATCCTCTGTCCAGGTTTACATTCCAACCTTCATAAACAGGCAAACCTCATTTTGGAGTAGTCTGTCTACTACCCCAGCCTTTCAAGCATGCAGGAGTTCTCCATCAGCTTCTACAATGCTAAAAGCCCACTAGCAGAGCCAAGCACTTCAAGGAGAAGTGCATGGAGAATTATCACTTCTATGCAGAAAAGCAGAACCACTTTAGATAAAATGATCTAAATGGCAGCACCCTGACCTCTACTCAGCAACACACACTAAAACCAGGTGCATTCAGGGCTCAAGGAGGGGAGAGGGCGAGTTGGGCAGCAAAGCAACCCCAGATCGCTAATATAGTAGAGATTACCAATTCCACTCAGGTCCAATCCAGCTAAATTCAGACATCAGTTTACCCAGAGGAAAAGTGGTCTCCTGTCCTTCAGTTGCTTGACTCAGAGGGCATTCAGCCTAGCATAACCAGGCAAAACAGTCTGCAAGATCTCTTTAAGCCATAAATAAGACTAGTTTCCAAAGAAATCAGACTCAGCTCTGGCCAAGAAGCAGTCACTGAACATTTTCTTCTACTACTGGTGTTTACAAACTACCAGCAATAGCCTCAGGAACCTCCGGAGACTCCCTGAGTAACCCCATCAGATCCTTAATGTAAATACCCCTTTTATCAATCTCTGATGGCTTTGGCAGCTAAATAGAAGGGAGTGAGTAAGATGACATGCATAAAATGAACCCTCTTCAAGTTGTAAATGAGTGACTCAGGCTTCCGACTTGCCGAGATGCTCCAAATAAAAACCCTTGATATGATTCCAGGCATGCTCCGTCTTACCGTTCTGCTGTTGTCTCTCTCAAGCCGGATTCACCTGGAACTCTTTAACATATCTCTAGCAATGTGTTTGCACCAGGCCAGCCTCACACAGCAACTGAATTCACATCTTTCTGCACTAGCAGGCTGAAATGGTACGGCCGTACTACAACCAAGAAAGGGGGAAGCAGAAGCAGGGGGAAAAAAAATCCAGAAATCACTCAGAGAAGCTGATCTCAACGAAGCAAGACCAAAAAATTATTTCAGAAGAGCACAAAAGACATGCTAATGTTCAGTATCAAAAGCTTCAACAGTTCAGTTTTTCCCCTAAAATAATCTATTTTTTTTCCTCCAAACACGATGGACTTGCCTGTGGAGTTCCCAGGAAGGCAGAGTAACAGGGCTCTGCAGCAGCGCTGCAGCCAAAGTAACCATGCATACGCTGTCCAGGCAATTCACAGCACACTGTCTCTCCAGAAAGCTATTGATTTGCAATGCAGGGCTGCTTCAAAAGCATATAGGATGGAAGCCAAACAGCTAATGGTGATTGCACAAGAGGAAAACATTTAATCAAGGGATGCACCTTATCATGCTCAATTCAATTTTTTAAAGGCACTAGAGAAAGCCAGTCAGTGTCCTGAGTGACAACCCCATTAAATAATAATCTGAGGTCCCATAAAAGGCCAAGTTTAGGCTACTATCATTAATGTTAATGCTTGGAAAATGGTTTAATATGTCTATATGCATACATGTGTCACATGCAAATGAGACATAATGAGGACATTAAAATTACCATGCCTCAAATACATGAGGTATAAAAAAAAAAAAAATCACACAGGTGTAGCATTTACTGAACCAAAGTGACAGAATGCATAGTTATGAGCCTGAAGAATTACTGTGGGCTTTGGACCCAGGACACCCTTAAAAATAAATATCAACACAAGCCAGAGCACACAATCCTTAAGTAAATTGTGCCAAGTCATGCCAGAAGGGGCTGGGTGGCAAAGGAGTACTAAACCGCTACTCTCTTAGCACCCCCTACAGGAGAGAGGCTGTTCTAGCCCTTATATTTGTTTCAGATTTCCTAGGCCTGAAAACAGAACCACTAAGGGTTCATAAATTAGAGTAAGGTACAGTCAAATTGGAAAATAATTTACACAAGAAAATTTTAAATGCCATGGTAATCTCACATCACAAATGTTCAACTGTATGATTAATTTAGCTATGGGAGGTGGTAACTACAATGCTAGGTGAATGGGACATACTCACAAAACTCTGGACTTGAGTCTGCTTAAGGCCAGAAGGCTAAGGAAGAACCATTTGCCCATCACATTCCAGCTGATCCAAATGAACCACCTCATCTTCCTGCTACTTTGCCCTCATCACTCTGAATGTCAGACACTTCAGAAATAACAACCTTGATTTTTTTTTTCTGTAACACAAAAGTTCCTGCAAAATCCTACCCAAAACCAACAAAAAAAAAAATGTGTTAAAATAAAAACCTTCTGCACTCCCTTCTTCACCAAGGTTATACAGTTTCAATCTCACGAGCATGCATGACTGTGTGTGTGTGTGTGTGTGTGTGTGTGTGTGTGTAGGTGTATGAATATACATGTCCATTTGCAAATCAGAAGTCAAGATCAAATATCATTCTTCAGAACTCATCCACCTTGTTTTCTGAGACAGTTTCTCACTGACCTGGGACTCACATATAGTCTACACTGCCTCCCAGTGCTGGGGTTATAAGAATGAACTGCCATGACTGCCATTTTACACAGGTTCTGGGATTACACAGATTCAGGTCCCCATGCTTGCATGGCAAACACTTTATGACAGAGCTGGCTCCCCAGCCCAAGCTGTCACCTTAATATCAGAGCACTTCAGAATTGTATGAGCACATGCCTGAAGAGCAGACTCTGAGTCAAAAATGCCTTTCAAGATGAGATTCTGTAAGAGATTGCTCATCTCTCCTACCCACAAATGCTCCCTTTTGCAAAGCCAGTGTCTCGTCATAGTTGAATCATTTAGGATTTAATTACATGCTGTCTCATAAGGTGCTTTTTTATTATTGGTATTGTGCCTATTTTAAAGCCCTTGAGTACAAACCATGCCAATCACTGGCTTTTTAATTCCCCTGTAACACAAAGCTAGGCATCTAAAACACACTGATTAAATTCTTAAAATAAGTAATCAATTTCCCAACTCCACATTTGGAGCCTAAAATTATCTTGGCAAACTCCCTTCCCATCAATCAATGCTCCCTGAAATAATCCATGTATCAAGTCAGTTTAATCACTTCACCATAATATGGCTTATTTTTCCTGAAACTGTGTGTGAAATATTCTTGTTTACTAAGGTATTCTGTATAAAAATGAAAGGGTTAATGCAAAAAAAAAAACCTTCTCCCTTATTCTTTCGGTTATTTATTCCACAAGCATATATTTATACTGCATTGTGAACAGCTGTGTCCTCTACATCCAAAGAACCAAATGAGTGATTGGAAAAAAAGTTTCTTTTATGCACACATACACAAACACACATACACACACACACACACACACACACACATACACGTATATATTGCATATAAGAATGAGATTATGCACAATTATCAAATATCTGTTTGTGAGAAATTAAATTTGAATGTAGATCAGATTAGATCTAACTCAAAATAAACTTTAGAAAATGATTGCAAACACTTAATAAACCCTATCATAAGATGAAGCAAAAGAAATAAAAACGAGATATGATAGTGTGGTTTAAAAAATATAGTGGTGTTGTTTTAAGACAGGGTCCTACTATGTAGCCCAGGATCGCCTTCAGTGGTCTCTTTGAGGCTGTCCTCAAATATTTAATCCTCATGCCCCAGTCTCCTGAGTGCTAGACACAACATCCCTAATGAAGCAAGTTTTTTGACAGCACGTGTTGGGGTACAAATAACCTCCCTTCAGTAGCTCACAAGAGATCCCACAGAGGAAGTAACACAATTCAGACACCCAGGAGGGGAAGGGCATGTGAGGGGCAGTATGAAGCCTCAGTTGGAAGCTGGCTGAAGAGACAGCCAAGCACAGCAGTGGCAACTGTGCAGGCTGAAGGCAAGAAGATTTGATGCCAGCGCATAAGGGGTCCTGGAAAGGATAGCAAGAACTTAGGCATTTTACCCCACATAAAGTTGCCATGGCATCCAAAAGAAAAGTCCTATGAGACTGTAAGGCAGAAGGCTGGCTGGATGGGGTTTTTAATTTTTCAACAAGGAAATGCTGTAGAAAATGGACCAGGACAAGGAGGAAATGGGGAAGACACTCAGGAAGTAAGGACAAATGTTAAGACCAGACCTTAAAGAAGCCAATGGAATTGGGGATAGGAAGAAGTGTTTCATTATCTATTGAGTAGACAGGAGGAAAAAAAGGGGAAACTCTGGTACAGCTCTGAACTTCTGTATTATAAGGAGAAAGTGGGGTCATAAACCACGGATAGAGAGGATAGGCAGCTAGAGGGAAAAGCTGGCCTCTGGCATATGTACATACACAACCGTGTGCTGCCTTTTACACACTTTGAGTCGGAATTTCCTAGCTAGGCTCAGCCAAGCTGCTGGTCCACCCGACTTCTTGAGGATATTTGCTCAGCGAGGAAGGAGAGACGGACAAAGAAGGGGAAATCAAAGAAAAATTCAGCCACAGGTAAAATGTTTGTACCCAACTTCAGTCCACCTGAAACTAGAAGATAAGCCATTTGTTGCCTCAGGCAGGCACACTAGCAGCCACTGACTGGGCCTGGAGAACAAGGACTCCAGGCAGGGCTGGGTCCCACTGATTGTGCAGAACTGAAAGGTACTTGCAGAGCCTGCTGAGATCAGTTCAGTCAAGACGGCCTTTCCCTTTTCCTTTCCCTTTCCTGAATGCTTGCCCCAGCTATCTTCATCTTTGTTCTTCTCTGCATCTACCATGGTCACACCCAGACAATCACTGGGTCATTCAGTTGGCCCTGGCTCTACACAATGAGATTTAAGCAACCTCTTCAGCATAGTCTTGTCCTTCCTTCCTTGTCACACTTCACTGCTTCTATAAACTAATTTGTTTCCTTTATTTGTTTATCTTCACACCCAACCACACTATAAACCCCTCAGGAAGAGGCTTCTCTGCATTACTATGAGTCTCCCTAGCCCCTCCATAAATAGAGGCAGGTGACAGGGGTTCAAATAAACTCTGTGGGTCAGTGTAGAGTGGAAATGAACAGGGAGCTTGGAGAACATGAGAAAAGAAAAACAGTGTCAACAAATACAACTTTATGTTTGGCCATAAAATAGCAGTAAAGACAGTGCTGGGGGGGGGAGTGTAAAGCATCCAGAAATTAATCACTGTTTTCATGCAAAGAAGAATATCTTTATGAGGGACAGTAACATGTATCTGAAACCTCACTAGCTCATGGTAGAGGCTACAAAACAGTTGGAGATTCAAGAACAAAAGACAATAACTCTTGTGAACAAACATCCCATTGGATTGGTGGGAAATAAGACTGACACATAAAGGCTAGAATCTGGCATCTATGCAAACTCACTTCCTGCAAGGAAACCAAAGTTAATTCCCCAAAATGCTTTCCCTTACACAAGATTTTTTTTTTCCAATTCTGAGATGTAGCTGTGCCCCTTCATTTTAATAACTAGGTTATAAGCACAATATTCATATTATTCCAGTTGGTGATGGGAGCCAGATGAATATTAGGGAACCACATTCAGCTTCACTGTGTGCATGTAGGGCCAAGTGCATCCTGCTCCCAATAACCTGATGTCTGTGCACTTCCCTGCTTTACTCCAGACTCCTTCTTTCTTGTCCAGCAGGCTTTCCTACATGCTCCTTCTAGCATTACCACTCTGTCTCAGGGCAAGCTTTTCTTAGCTCTCTTTGCATTGGGAAAATATCATGGCTAGAGGGCAGGTCTGACTCTTCAAGGCACAGCTGTGAACAGAGGTGGAAGTGTGTGGTCTTTATCCTACTCCAGTTTTGTGGTGGTTCTTGTCTATACAGAAACCCAGGAAGCACATCAGTTGACCTGGAGCTATCCCAGACACTGCAGAGGAGGGAAATATATGGAGGAAACAATAAAGAAACAAAGCAATGGAAGATAGGAGTAGAAAAATGCATTTTCAAAAATCAAAGGAAAAGACAATGTTAACTAAGAAAACTCAAGATTAGATGAGGGTATCAAAAAGGGTTACTTAGTGCGTTATAATTCTGCCCATTTTATGAATTAATTTCATTAAACCTATATGACAAAAAGTTCAGTGTTACTTTGAACAGTGATAAAAGATGGAGATTTCTCAAAA